GGTAGACATTGGAAGTTCACTTACAAAATCATTCGCCGCAGCGGTGAGGAACCCATTGAAGCGCGAGAGTGATCCATGGTATAAGCGTAGTGGACAAAGGGGATGATGAGCGGGGTGGAAGAGATTGTTTTCGTTTGGGAGATTTCTGTTTTTGTTTCTTTGCCTCCCTTGACAAAGCGATGGAAGGAAGCTATAGGTAGGGCTGTCCTTGATGTTGAATTCGGACAACAGATAGGTATAATCAATCACTGAGCTTGAGCTGGACAGCAAAATGCTTTGAGGAATTCGGGAGTATCTATTTTTCGTTGAGGAAGAAAGGAAAAGAGATCACGAGGATAGGTACAGACTAGCTGCAGTAGACTACTAGCATCTACCTGACCCTGTCATTTCATGGTGCACCACCGGCCGGACCCTTGGGCGGTCGGGGAAGGGGAGGAGGTCGACTGATTTGTTGCGTCAATGCGTATTCCGTACATAGAAGGGGAAAATGGACTGACGTCGGGTGGCACGCGACCACACACACAGTGCATCGGGCCGGGGAAGCTAATCCAGATAAGAGATAAGGTAGGAGCAACAGCTGCCCCGGGAGCTGCCCCGGCGAAGAGCTGCTTTCAAGAGGGAACTTATTTTGCCACGGTATCTTCCGACAGTAGCCTTGGTAACCCCGCCATCGTCCCCTCATACTACTCTGTCACACCCAGGCGAGGTGTTAGCAGGAAGTCCCAAAGTAGAGGTTGATGTTTCTCGTCAAAATATAATGAGAAAGCAAGCCCGGCGTGGACAGCTGGAAATTGGGGATAATTTAGAGTTTGAACGGTTTACGGGGTGTTGGATGGTATAATGTGGTGAACTTTACGAAGTACTCCGTACCATGACCGTTGTCTGGAGAGATCTCACTGCCCGATTCAGCTAGTCTAGGCGGTTGCGCTACCCTGTCTCGATTATAGGGCTGAGATGAACTGTTTCGTCCGATACGGACAGGAGAAACAGGCAACGAGTCGGTGTGTCTGCTGCATCTCTCAGTCTGGTCTTTTGATCATTTGCATTTTGTCACGCTTTTGACGCTTTTGATGGAAAGGCGGGCTCGTCCTCACGTACCGGTATATTTGGTGTTTACGCCCGAAATTGTCAAGTGCGCAGGAGCGCAGTCGCGTTGTTGCCTGCACCACTGGTCGGAGAGGGCAGGCGCATCCGTACTGCCGTACGTGTTCATCCAACCACCAGAGGTGTGCCTGGAACGTGGATTTGTCTTGCCGCCGTGGAAGTTGAAGCCTCCCATCCGCTTGACCACGCCCGCACAACACTTTTCCGTCTTGCACCTGCTACAGTGGAATTCTGGACGTTGTAGCTTCCATTGGCTTCATATGTGTCCACTCAGTCTACAAGACGAAGGTCTTCATTTTCAATATAGATCCAATGGTAGGTAAGTAAATGAAAAGGTAAATTCGCCCTCGCTCGAAACCCCTCGGCCATGTTAGGTTATCGAGCCGCTTGCTGGTAGCCTGTGCCTGACTTTATGGGTGCCTGGGTGGCCTCCTGCGGTCATTCCCACCCGACTGTCGTCCTCAACCGTCGTAAACCAGTGCCCCTCGACGAGCCCTCCATCCGAGGCTCTCCAGTGAACTAGGACGAGGCTTCCTATGTAACAAGTTTGGATTGGTCAGGCCGTTCTGCAAGCTGGCTTCTCGAACTTAGTCCTCAGGGTATACCTTTGGTACCTTAGGAACCGACCTTCACGTGCAGGTCACGTACCTTAGGTACCTCCCGTCTCGGAGCCCCGCATAATCTCATCTCTAGGTATCTTCTTCTGACTCTGCCGTCAACTGCCTTGTTCACTTTCCTTCATCACCATAACTTAGCCCGACTTTCTTTCTTCATCCATCGAGCCAAACGGACTCGTCTGCGCTGTCCCCTTATTCCTTCATCCAACTGTGCCGTCGGCTTGGCCTGATCTCATCGCGACTATTTATTCTCAGCCGACATACCTACTCTCAACAGCCTTGTTTGCCAGCGACCAGGCTACCTAAAGTACCTTCCCGACATTCACAGCTTCCGCACTCATCGTCGCTGACTCTGCGGTCGCCACGATGAATGACTTACCACCCTCACCGGTGGACGTGGGTGTCCGTCGTTCGGTCATTGTCCACTCCATCACCCAGCTTGCCATCAACAACCATTTACAGGAAATAAGCGCTCTCATGCAACCGGACTCCGTTGCCAATACTGGCTCAGTCTTGGCCCTAGTTACCCTTCCCCGGGACTGTGGGCTGCCCCTGGCCTGCGACGGAAGACGTTGGATGGACATGCGGTATCGAATGAGCTACGACAAGCTCGTGAGTCTCGGCTCCAGCAAAATCAACAATATGTTCGAGCCCCGATGTCAGGAGCGGCTTCGTCGCCGTCATGGCATGCAGATTCTCCCTCCTGGCATTGAATATGTCCTTGACTTCACCCCTCCGGCCGAAGGCGCTGAGCTGGCCGATCTCACTGCCGCGCTCTGGCTGCCCAAGGTAGTCAAACTCTGGTTCCTCTCCGGCCATTTTGTCCCAGACGCTATTCTCGAGCATGGTTCGGAGATGTTTAGCTCCTATAACCGCCGTCTCGCCGAGAAGGCTGTTGGTGCCTGTCTTGTACTAGGCCACGATGATGTCTGCAAGCACGACTCCTGCGTTGTCGACACGTCTCAATGGGAGGTCAAGGATGTGCCGGGTATTGCCGATGAAGACCTACAGAAGGCAAGCACTGAAGACGACGTGTCCCCCATCGAGAGCTCCGGGTATTCGAGCCATATCCCACCCTTCCGCAAAATTGACGATTATTGCGCGGTCCGGCATAGGGTCTCTATAATGCGTGTGCTCCGGGCCATAAACGGGCAAGGTCTTGTCCTCAACTCTGCCACCCGTATGTGGACTGTCGCACAGGTGGCCATACACCTCGAAGTGCCCCAGGTTGTGGTAAGTTATACTCCGACCCCCTATTATTGTTATTCTTGGGTTTCATTCTGCTAACGAGATACAGGTTGATCCCGTAACGCAATGGCTGATTGCTCCTCCAAACAGCAAGTTTATTGAGATCTGCCCTGAGAGAGCCTTCCAGCTTGCCCTTGCGCTCAAGATTCCCAGTGTTCTGACCGCTGCGTTCAAAATTCTTGTGAACGAGGTTGCAGTCGACATGGCAGCTCCAATGCCCTCGCCAAACCTACCCCAACTCACTTGGGCCCAGCGCAAGCGAGACGACTATGGTGAATCCGACGCAGTGGATTATGCAAGCCGTGCCTACATTGAGCGCATGAACGGTCTTCTTGAAATGCTTCGGTCAGACGATGTGCTTGACAGGCTTCCCGTCGAAATCCCTCAATGGACCAACTTGCGGAAGCTTGGAGAGCTTCTCGACCATAACGAAAACACACGACTCAAACTCGCCCATAAGAGGCTGGTGGAGGCTCTAGTAACCGCATTCCACAGGCAGGTTGAAGCTGCCCTGGAAGCTGTTCCCTCAGGTCACTTGAACCAGTTGATCGAAGCCCAGCGAGCTCATTACATCCCGAACACGCGTGACAGGCAGCGCATTCCCTTAAGGGTTTATTACTCGAAACTTAGCCACTCTCAAAGGATTCTGATCCCATTTTTCTGGAATGAGCTCAGAACCGTTGGCGATTTCACCTCTTTTTCCTGGTCTTACTTCAAGGCCTCGCTGCTGACTTCCCTTGCCTCGGATTACAACGATTGCATAAAGAGGGAATTTGCCTCCAATAGTTACTTTTTCAACAGGCATGCCGATCTAGCCGCCGGGTTTGACTTGCAGATCTTCTACAACGAGCTTCGAGCCTCGGTCTCAGCACTCTGCAAAAATCATGTCTTGAACCGAATCAGCCACGAGAACACGGTTTCCTTCTGCCTGACCGACCACCTCAATCTGACTTTGGAAGAGAATGAGTTGAAATTTCTACCGATTTGGGCAGACGGCCTCGACGACGGCACCGGTGGTGTATTTCAGGATGCCATCCCCCCGGCAGAGATGGGACCTAGTGAGCCAGGGCCGGCTTACCATACTGGTTATACCGTAGCCACCGGCGACACGACAACCATGGATGGCGGCGGCTCTACAATTGCACCCTCGGACCTTGATATAGGAAATCTCGATCTCACGAGCAATACGGGCACCGTGCCTAGAAGTATGGACGCCGAGCAGAGTGTTACGACCGGCCCTGCTCGCAACCGCGTCGTGTCGATATATGAGTCTTCGGAGAAGTTCTCGGCCAATGATGTGGAGTACTCGGATGCCATGTTTGCGCAGCCGGCCGCCCACCAGGCGCTCGGCCAGGCACTGACACACTACGCTGACATGGATGATGACGAGAGCATGATGGCCTTTGAGGATGATGAGGAGGGAGATGATGACGACGTGAGTAATGTTGATCGCCCGGATCATGAGATGCAGGCCGAAGAGGGCGTCCCTGACATGGTGGATGATGTGCTATCTGATACAGACAGCATTTCTACGCTGGGCGAATCCGATTATGATATGCTGTGAGGAGATGACCATATCGTTGGCTTTCTTCTTCGTGCTGCATCTCTTTTTTTACGCGTCTAAAGACAAAACATTCACTGTCTTGGCAGGTCGATCAAGACTTTTTTTCTTCGCAATCTGGGGTTCTTTTCCCTATTTCCATTTACGACTGCCATGACATGACGATGGGTGCATGGGTACATCATGGGATAAGAGCTTAAGGAAAACTTTTAAGAGGTAAGGTAAGGATGAGCCCTTTACGCGGGCAGTAAAAATGCTCTGGAGTTATGGATGTGCTGGCTTCCATTCTTTCAGTTCTTGGTCAGGTGGGTGGATTCAATGATAATTCCGTATATTTAGGTTCCTCTTGGAAAGAAAGGCAGCGTACGAGTGTGTTGTTTTGGGTTGCTATACCTATTAATATCAGTTTCGTGTTGTGTGTGGTTAATCTGTTGTTAAATATTTATAGTGATGAATAAAATAAAATCTACGGGTGCATGGTCTAGTGGTATGATTTTCGCTTTGCATTTTCTAGTCAGATGCGCTATTGTGAAAGGTCCTGGGTTCAATCCCCAGTGCATCCATGCAAACTTTTTTGTCGTCGGTTTATATACTAACCGTATCTTGAGAAATCAATGCGGTTGGATGGATGTCTGAGTTTTAAATAGTAATTAATGATGATGATGACTGGGAACGATGGACCGACCACTAGAACTAGAATAGTTTTCGTACATCCATCAGATCAGATGTGGTGGCAACAGGTCTCGGGCCAAAGTAATCCATAAAATATGGGATATATTTCCTCAGTAGGCATGGGTGGCACCTAGCTAATCTCCAGACTTTCAATCATAGGATATCTCATCAGAACAACCGACTGACTATTACAGAACGCCGGCTCTCCGCTCATAAAGGAACCTAACCAAAGCCTATCTACAATTATCCTTTTTTGTTTGTTTGGTCTAACCCCTATTCAAGGTATTCCCGCTCCCCTTCGGATTCGCCTCGACATACTCATCCCAAGCCCTTGCCTTGAGTGTCTCAGCATCCGCCTTGTCAATATCGTCCTCGTCGGGCTCAGGCCGAGCCCAGCTCGCCTCGCCACCGCCTTCAATAATCCCGCCCCGCCGCCGCTCCTCCTCCAGATACTCGTCTATGCTCATGGTCGGCAGGTTGTGTCCCGGCCTGAAGACACCCTTGGTGAGTTCTTGGCGATCGTTCACGAGCGTGAACGGCTGCAGCGGCTTACCCTGCTTGGTGAGGAGCGGACCGCCCAGGGTGCTCTGGAGGCGTCGCAGGGGCATGTCAAGTCTGGCGGCCTCGTTGGCGCGCTCGCGTTCGCGCCGCCGTGGGTCATCTTCTGATTCGTTACTTAGTCCTCCTCCTCCCGACGACACCAACGATGGTAGAAGCGGTTCCGGTGCGAGCGCGAGCACGTCAAGCTCGCGGTTGAGGCCCTCGAGGGACTGGAACGTCATGTGCGAGCTGTAGTTGAGGTGGGCGAGGTGGACGTCGCGGACGGCTTCCTCGTCGGCCCCCGTGTTGGCGGTGGCGGTGTCTGGATTGTCGAAGTTGGCGTACTCGGGCTGGCTTCTTAGGAAGGAGAGCCTGACGCGGAGTTCCTTTTCGGCCTTGTAGTTGGCCATCTTGGAGTTGCGCCGCGCGGCTGGGTCGCTGGTGGACACGGTGCTGAATGTGCTGGGCGACTCGGTGTACTGCTCAAGGAGCTTCTTGTAGGTTTGGGGGAGGAGTTCATAGCTGTCGAGGAGGTGGAGGTAGCGCTCATAAGAGTCGCGGGCGGAAGATAGGGTGCGTTTGCGTTCTTGGGGAGAGGCGGAAGGGAGTTTTTGAGTCAGTTCGGCGAGGTGGAAGTTTATGAGAAGATAAGGGAGGTCGGAGGTTGATATGTCCTCGAGGGTCTCATTGGGACTGAATATGGAGAAGGTGTTGATGAGGCGCAGGCAGTCTTGGTAGCCTTTGACGGCGGCGGATACCGTCTCGGTGTAGCTGTCCGAGGTGGTGTCGTGCGCTTGCTCGAGGGAGAGCCGCTTTGAATCGGCGTCGGCAAAGATCTCCTTGAGAGACCTAGGCTCGTCTTCCTTGTCCATTTCTGATCTGTATACCTGGGCTAAGGCGGTGAGTCTGTTGATTGGTGATGCTGATCTCGCTCGGGTTGTGTTCGTGGTGAGGGGCATTGAGTTCGGTGATTTGCCCCTCACTAGCAAGCTACTTTCTTATCTCTTATCTCTTATCTAATCTCCGTTCAGCTTGACTTCAGGCCGGGTAGCAGCGGCAGATGGATTTACAACCTGGAAGTCACTTATCCCTGGACTTGGGATAGGGGCAGTGTTGTCCGGCCAACCTCTCTCCTGAAAGCTCAGGAGGCAAGCCCTCGGTCTCATTTTGAATAGTAGGGCGGGGGCAGCTTTCAGATGAATGCACAGGGTGATTTAATGACTTAGTCCGCGTTGACTGGTGTGGCATTTACGCCCGGTCTCTGAGAGGTACCGCCCGACGGGCTACACTTCGCACCGTGCGAGCTCATTGGACGAGGTGGGGATTCGTGACGGCACCATGCCATGACTGTGACCATTGCCCGAACACACATCAGGCCATTGCAGCATGAGAAGAAACCATATCGAGATCGCGATTTAAAATCAACCCATTGTATGCTAGATTTGCGTAATTACACGTAACTGTCGATGCAATCCAGTCGCCACCGTGTATTCTCCGCTTCGACAATTGTGAATAGCTTCCAGTCAAGCTTGCCAAGAATGGCACTCCATCCGCCTCAACAAGCCGCCAAACTCATCTGTAAGTCGGACTTGAGCTCCTATATCAAAACTCTATTTCATGTGACCTAGCCCAACCGATCACCATGTTCTCAATTTTTCTCATCCCCTTGTCGCTTTTCATCCATCCTGCCCCTATTATCAGCCATCCGATGGACCGACTTACTCACTCCAACACAGTCGCGCCTACCGGCACACCTTTGACAGCCTCACCGGCACCCCAGGCCGTTCGCCCAGGGCAGGCTGGCCAATTTCTGAAGGCTGAACGGGAAGGGGGCCTGCGGCGAAGTCAGCTGGACCAGTTCAGCCCGATCACTCAGTTCCACAAATGGTTCAGCGCGGCATCACTTCCTGAAGCAGGCGTCGCTCACCCGGAGACATGCACGCTTTCCACCGCACAGCTGCCGTCAGGCCGTGTATCGGCTCGGATGGTATATATGAAAGAGCTCGACCCTAAAGGATTTGTCATCTACAGTAACTTTGGTACCAGTGGAAAAGGCCGCGATCTGTTTGGCCCCGAGGACGGCTCGAGCGCCGGTAATCCGTGGGCGTCGCTTGTGTTTTGGTGGGAGCCGTTGGAGCGGCAGGTAAGAGTGGAAGGTCGAGCTGAGCGGCTCACCGCATCCGAGAGCCAGATCTACTACGATACAAGGGTACGCGGCAGTCGGCTTGGAGCGTGGGCTAGCCGGCAGAGCGCGGTGCTGCTGCCCGACCCAAACAGTAAGGACGACGACGGGCGGGCGCAGCTGGAGAGCTGGGTCCGGGAGACGGAGGCGCGGTTTAAAGACAGCGAGGAGATTCCCGTTCCCGAGTTTTGGGGCGGCCTGAGGATCGTGCCGGAGCGGGTGGAATTTTGGCAAGGCAGGCAAAACCGACTGCATGATCGCTTTGTGTACAACCTTGTACATGATGAGGGAGAGTCCGGGTCTGAAGGCCAGGGGAAGTGGACGTTGGAGCGATTGAGTCCGTAGATGGCCATGGAACTCAAGGTACCTATCGATAGGCCATCAGTAGTACGACTAAACCCGGTTTCTACAGAATATACGAGATCAGCCGGTTATTCACTTCGATAATTTACCAGAACAAACACGCTCATGTCCCTGGTTGCGATTCTGTGATGAACAATTCCGTGCGTGTACATGTCAACGCAATCATGTGGCAGAGGACGAGCAAACTCGATCGGTACCTGCCAAGTTTTCAGTTCTCGCAATCATCCGAAGTTCCGCTGCACTATCATCTTCCAGTTCGCGCCTTCCAGACGCTTCCACTTATCGACCAAAATTGGACTTCTCATTTCCAACATGGTCAGTCATCCTCGCTCCTTCTTCTACCACCTCAGCGCTATAGGCAGCCTAGATTTCTTTGCGCTGCAAAAAATAAACTACCCACCTTCCACCTCGGGCAATTCCTCTCGAGCCTCATGTCCTCTCACCTCCCCGACTACCCTCCGCCCTTGCCCGTTTCCTTTACATCTCCCTTCTACTCAACCATCGTGCTACCTCATCGTCTAAGTCCATACATATAACCATCTCTCAATTAATCTATGCTCGCAGCAAGAAAAAAATCACGATGCCCCACGATGTGCTGCCGTTCAGGGCACCGGCGACACTGTCTACATCGCTGTCCGCCGAGATTGAAGCTGATTTGAGGCAGCTTGACAGCCTGGCCTTGACGCTCAATTCGAGTCCCCGAGAACCAAAGGCTACCAACAATGCTACTTTGCTAGACGATGCAGATAGAGTCGAACCCGAAGACGACAGCTTTCCCTTCACACTCCATTCAGGTTCCCGAGAACCAAAGACTCCAGACAATGATTCTCTGCTGAACAAAGCAGTCGGTGTCGAGTCCGAAGACGACAGCAGTGAGACCAGTGATGAAGAAGATGGCGGCGCCAAATCTTTCGAGGTCAACGCTCCACCCAAGCCACGCAAGATATCTGAAAAGAAGCGCGCAGATTTCGCCGAATTTGAACTCTGGGTTGAGCAAAACCAATCACGTCTGTCCAAGCGTAAACTTGTCCTCGATCAGGACGATTCCGTCAGGCGTATGATCCAGGACTTTGAAACCAAGAGAATAATCACAAGCCCTCGCGACTACCAACTTGAGTTGTTTGAGATAGCCAAGAATCAGAACACTATTGCCGTCCTTGATACTGGTTAGTCATCCATGGATTCACATATTAAAGACAGAAGACTGACGCTATCCAGGATCTGGCAAGACATTGATTGCTGCCCTTCTCTTACGATGGACCATCCACAATGAAATTGAGGACCGATCTCAAGGGCACCCAAAGCGCATCGCTTTTTTCCTCGTCGATAAGGTGGCGCTGGTGTTCCAGCAACATACCGTTATTGATTGCAACTTGGATTATCCCGTGGCGAAGTTATGCGGTGAGATTCTGGACTCTAGTCCTGACAAAAAGGACCTCTGGCAGAAAGCTTTTGAGGAAAACATGGCCGTTGTCTGCACCGCTGCAGTACTCTATGACTGCTTATCCCGTTCATATATTCGGATGGATCAGATCAATCTGCTCGTTTTTGACGAGGCTCACCATACCAAAAAGAACCATCCATATGCGCGTATCATCAAGGACTTTTATCTCGACGCAAAGGAAGGGGGAAAAAGGCCACGAATACTTGGTATGACGGCTTCTCCCGTGGATGCTCAAGTAGACCCAAGGATGGCGGCAGCCCAACTGGAGGCTCTCCTTCACAGTCAAATTGCCACGGCTGCCGACCCTGCAACACTGCAGCAGACCTTGTGCAAGCCAAAGGAGGAAATTGTTGTTGAGTATG